CTCCCCTGATGTGCTTATAACCGCACAGACACCCCTCTCTGGCCACCTGACAGCATATCCCCAGCACGTGAGGGTCCCAGACTACCCAGCCATCAGACTTAGGCTCACCTGAATTCGTAGTAATTACCCCCAGGGGCCTCAGATCCCATATCCCAGGACTAAGAATCTTAGAAGAACACCTAGGCTTTGGGGGAGTTCAATCTCATCCCACCCCCTTCCATAAGAGGTCTCACTCTCACCCAGATTCTAGCTCAGATGCCCTAGGATTCTTGGACAAACTTAGCCCACAGGAACTACAGCTTCACCCAGATCACTCCTGACCCCAACACCCAGGGGTTTCAGACACACTCCAGCCCTGTGTCTCTAGCTTGCGAGAGTCTCAGGGTCTGCCCAAACTCATAGCTCCAAACCCTAGAGGTCTAAAACCCATACAGTCTCCTAGTTTCCACCTCCTGGTGAGGTCTGACTGACCACCCCTGCCCCCGACCAGCTACTTTTGTCCCTAGTTTCTAGGGATCTTCAGACCCAGGTAACTGAAGACCCAGCCTTACCCAGACTTCCGTCCCCAGCTCTTAGGGACCTTAGACCCACAAACCACGGTGTCCCTTAATCTGTGGGATCTCAGACTCACCTGCTCTAGGGGGAAGCCTGGAGGCTTAGAAGTCCTCTAGCCCCTAACCCTTGGGACCCTGAGACCCACCCAAAATTTTGTTTCAGTCTCTGGATGTCTTAGACTCATCAACTTTTTTTTATCCACAGCCTCCAGAGGTCTCAGGACCACTCAGCCCAAGTGATCCCACTTACCTGTTGTCTCAGCCCTCCAAACCAGCCCCCAGCCCCTGAGGGCCTCAAATACAGTCAGCCTCTAGGCCCACCTGTCCACCCTTGAAAGTCTTGTATCTATCCAGCTCCCACAGGTCTCAAAGGCCCCAACCTCCAGGGAGTTTCGGCTCATTCCAGCTCCTGGCCCCAGTCCCTGGTGACCACAGATTTCTCCAGACTCCTGCCTCCAATCCTGCAGAGTTTCTGATTCATCTGAACTTTGGCACCCCCCCCCCAGTCCTTAGCCCCCCTGAGATCTCTGATTCAGGCAGACTCATAGGCCAACTCCTAAGGCTCTCGGGGCTCCCTAGTTCCCATTTTCCTAGCTCCTGGGACCCATCTAGTACCTGTATTTCCAACACAGGAACTACTGGATTCCCCAACTAGTCTCCACAGACCTCAGGGATCCCTGGACCCCCAGCCCTGGCTTTTACCCCCGCAACCCCCGAATCCAGCCGCTCACCTGATTGGCAGCCTCGAGCTCCTGCTGCAGCTTCTGTGTGCGAGCCAATTGGGCTTTGAGATCTGCTTCCTTCCTTTGCTGTAACTCCTCAATCTTATTCCTGGAGGGTGATGGTGGGGGGCACTGACCTGACTGTTGACCATGGCCTGAGGACCCATCTCCCACCTCTGCCCCTGTGGCCTTCAGGCAATCCTGCTGGGGGCACTGTCCCCACTGTCTGCCCATACGCCCATCCCTGCTAGTTACCGGCTGTCGTTGAATAGTGTCTCCTTTTCTGTCTGCAGACGGCAGAAACTGGACCCAGAGAGACATACATGGGTCAGTTCCACATATTGGTCCCCCCGCACCCGCTGGTCCCCCCAAACCCGTCCCCTCACCTCAGGAAAAAAAAATTTACCTTTCTTGTTTCTTTTTCAGTTTCTCAGATAGCTGGTTGGGGGGGGACGGGGGTGCAGACAATTGATAACATATTAGTAAAGACAAAAATAAATTTAGTAGTTATAGACACTTCTCACTAGTCCTTTTCGGAAGCTGGAAGTTACTTATGTTATCTTGTGGAATCCTTGAAATAGTCCTGAGAAGTGAGGATTACCGGTTTTATAAATGGGGAAACGGAGTCTCGGTAGGGTTCAGTAATTGGGTTGCCCGGGTGGTCAGTAGCAACAACATGATCTCCACCCAGTTCCCTTAGGCTCCAAAGGCCAGCATTTACACCCCCAACATATGGACTGACAGCCATGTCATAGAATGGCTACAGCAGGAGGGCCTGGAAAGCAGGATCATGACTGCCAGCTTCATCACTTGATCTTCAGTATCCAAGTTAAGAGCCAGCAGTCTATAAATGCTTGAATGCATGGACGGATGAACAAGGAGAGCTGCGAGGACTCAGAAGGGAGGGATGGGGCTGGCCATCCATGAGACAGAGGAACCCCATTAGCCCTATTCTATACTGAAAGCAACTGTGAAACATAAATGTGCATCTCTCCATTTCAGATAAGGAAACTCAGGCTTTGTGGGGGCTGGGGGGTACTCTGGTCCTTCTTCCCAGCCAGGAGAAGCATGGCAGGTGGGGAGTTGTAGGGGGACAAAGTCCAGGGAAAGCTCAGCAGCCCCACCTTAGCAAGTTCCTCCTGCAGCCTGGATGTTTCTGCCTGCTTCGAGCTCTGCAGGGGAAGGATGAGGGAGGGAGTTAATATGAGCAAAGGGGGAGGTAAGACCTGTGCCTTCCCCTGCCCTCCTGCCTCCCTAATCTGCCCGCCCACGAGTTGGTGAGATCACAGATATCTCCGTGGGACTGCAGGCAGACCTAGGGCATCTGCCTGCGTCCTGACACCCCAGCCCCAACAAACACAGAATCACCTCCAAGCCTTGTAGTTGCTCCCAGAGCAATCTCTTTTCTTCCTTCTCCATTTCCCATTTCAACTCCACTTCTGCCAGTGGCATGGGGGCTGGGACAGTGGGGGTGGGGCCCCCCCGGGGGGTCCCCTTGGCCCTCACTGGCAGCTTGGGCTCTCCCAGCCTCTTTCCCATAGCGTTCCTGCAGGGCTGGGGGGTAGAACAGAAACAGATGATGGAGGAAGTGTTCTCTGAAGACCCCTGCCATGCCAAAAGCAGATGGAAGAGTTGGCCTTGGATCCCTCAGGCAGAAGAGACCCTGCCCCAAATGACCAAGTGCCTACAAAACAAAGGCTCAGGTCCATCCACACTCCTCACAAATCTTTTAAGCTCTCCCATCCACTGAAATCCCGTCCACAGTTTCCCCAAGCTCCACCCCCTAACCCCCAGGACCCACCCACAGCCCTCCAAGGTGATGACCACCACCCTCCACCCCTGCTGCTTATAGCTGAATCCTGTAACCAACTAATCCTCAACCAAATCTACAAAACCTCCCTCCTGATCACCAAATCAGCACCTACCACACCACAGGCCTCAGCTGTTCTCCAAACACCCCCACACTGGGACCCTCCCACACTCTACCAAGCCTCCTTTGAGCCTTGCTCCCAGACCCCACGGACAATCTGGGCTCAGAGTCTTCCGAAAGCTCCTTCACTCACTCTCTCCATATAGCAAAGAGCTCCTTTCTGGTGTCCGATCTGCTAATCTGTAATATTCGCTAGGTACCAGGCACTGAACTCAACCCAGAAAGATACCACCTCATCTTAGCTCTACTTCAGTCTCCCATGTGGTGGACATCCCCACAAGCACCCTGGAGACGAGGAAGTTTTGACTCAGAGGTGAAATGGCTTGTCCAAAGTTATACGCTGGTTCACAGCCAGGCCCAGCCTGATTCTGAAGTCTTCTCCCTTCCCAGCAGGAAAACACCCTACTCAATCCCAAGGTCCCCACATCCCCAAGGAGGGTCTGCTTGCACCTGCCACATTTTTCTGCAAGGCCGTGTTCTCCGCCTGCAGTCTCAGCAGCTCGCCATCCACAAGACCCCCAGCCTGGGCAGTGCCTGTCCTGGCAGCCCCATCCTTCAGTTGCTGGTTCTCCCGCTCCAGCTGCTCCATCTGGCTGCAGAGCTGAACAGGGGAGGAATGAGGGAGCAGACAAGCAGAGAATCAGAACAATATTGGCTGCAATATACCTAGCGCTTGGCAGATGCACTTTACAGTTGGCGTAATTCCCATAATGCCCCTGCATTAGGTAGGGTGCCGTCGTAACTCAGTATCCCCACTTCACAGATAAGGACATGGAGGCACAAATGTCAAATGACTTTGAATTCACCCATCTGTTAAGAGGCCAAGTCAGAGAGGGCAGAGGCCACTGAGGGCAATTTTCTGCTTGCCCAGTCACAACCTTGCAGTCATAATCCAAGACCTCTGGCAGGCTCCATCTGGAAGCTGCTGGTCCAGGTTGTCAGCATCACAAATAGCCCCACTGCCAGATCCCTTCTGTGAGGGTGGGTCTGTGTCTAGGAGCCTAGGCACAGACAGCTTTCCGGGCATTTCCAAGGCCAGCACTACCCACAGCTCCTCATCGTTAGCCCTCAGCCTTGGAGAAACATGCAAAGCGAATAAAACTAGGCCAGCCCCTTGCTCAACTCCTGGCTAAAAGAGTTCTCACAGGGGTCCAGACAAGATCCTTTGTCTCCAGGGCACCTGGGTGGCTCAGTCAGTCAAGCATCTGCCTTTGGCTCAGGTCATGATCTCAGGGTCCTGGGATAGAGCCTGAAATCGGACTCCCTGCTCAGAGGGAGCCTGCTTCTCCCTCTCCCCCTGCCTGCCGCTTCCCCTACTTGTGCTTTCCCTCTCTGTCAAATAAATAAATAAAATCTTAAAAAAAAAAACAAGATCCTTTGTCCCCATTTTCAGATGAGAATACTGAGGCTCACAGAGAATTTTTATTCTCTTGCCTGGGATATTTTCTACCCAGAACACTATTCCTTTCATCTAGTTCTTCACGTGACTGGCTCCTTTGCAACCTTCGGTGCTCTGTTCAAACGTCACCCTTTAAGTGGTATCCCCCAACACAAATTCCGAAACTCTCCAGCACAGCGCTCTGTTCATTTCTTTCTTACCTAGTACTAATTGTGATTAAATTGACCTAGTATGTTCGTTTTTTTTTTTCATGGTAAAGACTGCTTTATTGGTGGCAGTTAGTATAAGTCATTAAGTATTGATCCCCAAAGAAGAACTCATTTATCAGTTACTGGTCCATAGAGAGCTGAATGAAACTGATCCAACTGCCTACTGAGATGATAAACTGAAGTCAATCAATCCTGCTTCTTGGGAAATGAAGACATAGCTAGCTGATATATGGCATATGCTGTTCCACCAACTCTAAGCGTCATAGTAGCTCTAAACAGGAGGGCCTCAGCTACTCCACCCTTTAGATGCAGTGGAATTCCATTATCCTCCTGAAATAGCTTTTGTTTCTCTGGAACTTTATTTTCAATCTGCCTGCGTGAAGCAGTACTTATGGTCCTCTGGGCAGTCTGATGAAGAGCCAGCAGATTCCGCAGCATCTTGGCTCAGTTAATACCCACTCACCTCAACAACCAACCACCAAGAACAAAACTCCCCACCTGACCTAGGATGTTCTTAATTTCTTAAAACTGGGCAGATGTTTGGATTCTAAATTGTGATTGATGATTACACTTTATTTTGTAACATAAGGTCACAAGCACAGATCCTGAAACTAGCCTGCTTGGATGTGAACTTCTACTCTGCCATTTTTTAGCCATGTGACCTTGAGACAAATGGCTTTACCTCTCTGGGGCTTGGTTTTCCTCATTTGCTTAGTAGGGATCTTAATAATATCTCGTTGGCCCATTTTAAGAGAAAATGAGTGAGGGGTGCCTCGGTGGCTCAGTTGTTAAGTGTCTGCCTTCGGCTCAGGTCATGATCCCAGGATCCTGGGATGGAGCCCCACATCAGGCTCCCTGCTCAGCGGGGAGCCTGCTTCTCCCTCTCCCTCTGCTGCTCCCCTGCTTGTGTTCCCTCTCTTGCTGTGTCTCTGTCAAATAAATAAAATCTTTAAAAAAAAAGAATAAATGATTGAATAACATAAAGCACATCGAACAGGACTGGGCATGCAGTAAGCACTACCTAACTGTCTAAAACCTATACTAGTATTATTTTTAATTTTTATTTTATTTAAGATTTTATTTTTAAGTAATCTCTATCCCCAACACGGGGCTTGAATTCACAACCCTGAGATCAAGAGTCACACGCTCTTTCAACTGAGCCAGCCAAGCGCCACTATTAATATTTTTATAAACATTCTCTTTCTGGGGCGCCTGGGTGGCTCAGTGGGTTAAAGCCTCTGCCTTTGGCTCAGCAGGGAGCCTGCTTCCCCCCTTCTCTCTCTGCCTGCCTCTCTGCCTACTTGTGATCTCTGTCAAATAAATAAATAAAATCTTAAAAAAAAGAGAAAACATTCTCTTTCTCCCCATCCCACATCCAGAAGGTAGGCTACCCAAGAGTGGGGCCCAGGTTGTGCTGCTTCCAACTATCTCCAGAATGCAGAGCATGCTGGGGGTGCTCAATAACTATTTGTTGGAGGAAAAATGGAGCTGAAGTATCTTGGCAAGTAAGTGGTAGAGGCAGGCCTTGAACCCAGCTGTCTGTGAGCACTACCAGTTCCCGGGGGATGGAGAGGGGAGTGGGAAGGAGATTCTATACCTGGTCCAGGGCAGGTGCTGAGAAACACAAGTTGGATTGATGGAAGAATGCCTGCCCCTGCCTCACCCTAAAGGGATCACGATACCACTGAGGCTGGAGGCAGGAAGCAGTGAGAAGTGAGGAAATGAGGTCGGCTATTATTTGAGCACCAGGGGTTCTGAACAGTCAGGGTCAAGGACCCACTCGGAGCTGCTACTTAAAGGAGTGATGTGATAAGGTCTGCAAGTCAGGAGAACCTCTAGGGCATGGGCTGGTAGGAGAAACTAGAAGTGAAAAGACCAGCAAGAAGGCTATGGGAATAGGGCAGGTAAGTGGTAGTAAGGGCTGAGGCAGAGCAGGGCCACAGGATGGCTCTAAGACTTCTAAATAGTCAAAAAATATTTTAGCGGGAAAATCAATCAGTAATAATAATACGATATTATCACTAGCTAACACCTTGGGCACCTGGGTAGCTCAGTTGGTTAAGTGTCTGCTTTTGGCTTAGTCATGATCCTGGGGTCCTGGGATCAAGTCCTGCATTGGGCTCCCTGCTCTCCGGGGAGTCTGCTTCTCCCTCTGCCCCTCCCACTCATTCTACCTCTTTCTCTCTCAAATAAATAAATAAATTTTTTTAAAGTAGCTAACACCTACATAAACAATACTATGTACAAGGCTGTTATAAGTCATTTACTGACACAAGTCCATTCAATCCTCACAAAAATCCCTACAAGGCAGGTGCTGTCATGATCACTTCTGATTTAAACATCTGGGAACCAAGAAGCAAACAGGTCAAGTGACTTGCTCAAGGTTACAGTTAGCAAAAGGTAGAGCTAAGAGTTTAATCTAGGCCTTACAGCTCTTAACTATTAGTTGGCAAATCATCTCTCCTGACATTGTACCTGTTTAAAGGTTGTTTTCATATTTGTTTTTTTTAGGTCTTAAGAACTAGATTCTCACATGGAGTCCTGGAAATACCATTTTTGTTGCCATGAGAATTTGTTCCTTAAAACACACTAAAACCTTAGACACCTCTCCTTTTTTTTTTTTTTAAAGATTATTTATTTGTCAGAGAAAGAGAGCATAAGCAGGGGGAGTGGCAGGCAGGGGGAGGAGCAAGCTCCCTGCTGAGCTAGGAGGCAGATGTGGGACTCGATCCCAGGACCCTGGGATCATGACCTGAGCTGAAAGCAGATGCTTAACCAAGTAAGCTACCCAGGTGTCCCCCTTAGAGCCTTCCTGACCATGGACACAGAAGATAGATAAGGAAACAAAAGCTAATATCTCTAACTCTCTAGTAGGTTTAGGAACAGCCAGAACACTAAAATCTGTGAGGAGATAGAATTATCCAACCTGGGATGAATTATCTAGAAGAAGTAGAACTCCAGGATCAGATCAGATGAAGAGGAAGGAAGAGAAAAGGGAAGCAGCTAGAACATTTTTCTATTTCATGCTAAGCATAAGAACTTTAACTAAGACCCTCTAGTAACCTGGAACTCCCTAGCATCAGCTACCAAATATATACAAAGGGACTGGAAGCTTGAAGAAAAGGAGTGATTTGGTCTGGAACCAGCTGTCCTCAGGGCTTGCAGACTTCTAATCCCAGCACAGGGAGTGGCCCCATTTGTCAAATCACTGCCCCCCAGCTCAGATCCAGGATCTGTTTCAGCACCATGGACAGTGATCCAGGGCCAGCCTCTGTCCAACCACCTTCAGCAGCCCTCCAGCTTCAGTCCAGGAGGCCCCTACCCCTCAGATCCCGCTCAGCTGTCCCGGGCACCAGTACCTTGCTGAACTCCGCCATAAGCGTGCTGTTCTGCAAACGAAAGTCCTCCTCCTGGCTGTGCAGCTTTGCCTGCAGCATCTCATTTTCATTCAGTAGCCCTTCGACTTCCTGCAGTGGCAGATATGGGCCAGGTCTCCAACAAGGGTAGAAAAGGACAAGGAGGTACGGCAAAGAAACACAGAGGAAGAAAATGACGGGGGTGGGTGGGGGGGAAATAATAGGATAAAGAGAATGACGGGTGAAATCAGATACAGGGAAGGAGACAGACAGACATGGGAGGGGAGAGAGGGACAGGGGAGGGGAGAGAGGGACATGAGAGGAGAGAGTGGGAGGAAAAGAATGGTAGATAGAATAGGTGAGGGAACAGGTAGAGAGATGGGGAAAAGAAGACAGGGAAGGAGAGCGGGATGGAGAGGAAGAGAGAAAAAAAGAAAAGGCAGGAAGAAAGAGATAGGCACAGAGAGATCAGTGGGAGGGAGAACAGAAGCAAGAGAGGGGGTCAGGGAAAGAAATGAGGAAGCGACAAAGGAAAGGAGGGGGAGAAAGAAACAAGGAGTCAGAGAGAGAAAGGGAAAGAAGAAAAGAGAAATGATGGCACAGGTAAGGGAGAGAAAAATGGAAAGTTGGGGAGAGAAGCAACAGTCAGAGAGAACAGGAAGATGGGCAGAGAGAGACTCAGAGAGAAGGCCAGCCAGAGAGGGAGAAGGATGGAGAGGTCCAGAGTGAGACAAACACAGGAAAATAAAGACAGACATACAAACATAGGACAATGAGGCAGTCACAGATTCAAGTGCACACACAGAGAAAGAAAGGCCAGTACCAGGAGATCTCAGCATACAGAAATATCACCCCTCGGTTTCCCAGACACACTCACTCACCATGGGTCCCCTTACCTGAGCTTTCTTGCTCTTGCTCAGTGCCTAAAGGTAAGGGGGGTAGGAAGAGAGAGAAGGTGAATGGAGATGGACTCCCTCACTAGTTTATGGAGACATTGTGGCAAGCGTCAAGGGGGGATAATGACGACGGGTTGGGGGATGGGAGCATCTTCAATCACAGAACTTGCATGAAATTTGTAGTCCACGGGAATGATGGAGTGAGTGAGTGAAGGGCACCCCGCTCAAAAGCCTTCCTCTTAGCTCTTGAGACTGTTCATGAGTCTTAGTATTTAACCCTTCAAGGGCTGGGTTTCCAGGCTCAAAAATTGTGGCTGCATTGCTACGTGGGTCCAAACATATCTACGTGGATCCCTCCCATGCACCATGAAAATTGCTGCTCCCTTGTTGGGCAGCTGAGGGCACTGCCACGTTCTGCAATGAGCACCATACCAAAGAGAAGCCCAGCTTCCTGACTGCCAGATGTTCTGTATTATGTATGCTTTCGTCTAACAAATATTTATGGAGTGCATAACATTGAGCTACGCGTGGGGAAAGAGCAGTGAAGAAAAAGACTAAAGAGAATGCCTTGAGGGGCCATAACAGGTTATACACTATTTCATCTTCAGATGATCTGAGAGGTAGGTCTAGTCTCATGTTACCAACAGGACCAGGACACAAATGGAAAGTGGGAGCACAAGGCAGGAGTGTGAATGGAAGACAGAAGGCAGATTCAAGGCAGATTCACCTATGCATGTGACTATTTTGTTAGAAGTTAGTGAATGAGACTGAGTAATTGAAACTGTAAATTCATTAAGAGTAAATTAAGGGGCGCCTGGGTGGCTCAGTCGGTTAAGCGTCTGCCTTTGGCTCAGGGTCCTGGGATCGAGCCCCACATCAGGCTCCCTGCTCAGCAGGAAGCCTGTTTCTCCCTCTCCTATCCCTCTGCTTGTGTTCCTGCTCTCACTGTCTCAGTCAAATAAATATATAAATAAATAAAATCTTTACAAAAAAGAGCAAATTAATATTAATCAATAACTAAGCAGGATTAGACAAAATTAGCAAACTAAAGAGACTTCCATTAGAGTTTTTTGAATGACTGATGACAGCATGTAATGTTCGGCCTGGTTCCCTGTAGGTGCTCCCTGGATAGATGAATGAGTCAGATGGTTATGGGGAAGCAAGGGTGGGTGAGTGGGTGGAGGGAGGTACCTTCTGAGCTTTGTTGAACTCCTTATCCAGGTAGGCGACCTTCTGTCGAAGACTGGTGAGCTCTGGTGTGGGGAAAGCAGGGAGTCTCAGCCTCAGTCAGTGGCAGGAAGTTGAAAGGTCTTCCTGTCAGGCCTCTGTCCCTCAAAGCCACCCCCACCTAATGAGACCCTCTTAGCTCACCAACGCCATTCTTGCGTAATTCATCTGAAAGCTGGTAATTATTTGTCCGGAGTTCCAGGAGCTGAGCCTTGGGGGAAGCAGAGAAGGGAAACAACTAGGTTAGGAATGTGCCCCTAATTTCACCATGAGGGAACTAATCCCCTGAGCCCCACAGACCCTACTGCCCTCTCTATGCCTC